AATAGTCCTACTTTAACAGTTAGCTTTTACTTTATTTTAAATTAGTAATTCCGTTTTCCTCTCATGGTTATTTTACTGGTGTATTAAGTAAAACAGACTTCACTTTGAAACTTCGATGAAAATATTAGGCCGCTAAATTCTCAAAATTTTCGCTTGAAGAAAAAGCCACCATTGTATAAATTGCCTTCTTCAGAGAACGACGACAAAAAATACATAATTTTTATTTTATTTTTTTTCCTCAGAACACAGTTCATGTAGTGGACGCTGCAGTAAATTTCCGTCAGATGAGTCCCGCATAAAAAAAATTTACAAAGGTCGTTATAGTCATTCTTAAGATGGTCCGAATATGCAATTACGTGTACCAACATTTAAGTATTTAAAAGTATAAACTACGTAAAGTGTCATTTTAGGTTAGTACTATGATTCTGATGCTGAAGCTCTAAGGATTAAGTTTAATACTTATAATCATTTATAAAACTAAGCCATTCTCACAAATGATTTTCTAGCAAGCGGAGCTTCTGTAAAAGAAGTTCAGGAAAGTTGAATCTAATGCGATCTTAACTGAACTTTATCTGCGTGCGTAGCGTCAAGATTTGGTATCAATATTTATCGAGTAACTTGGACCAGTTTTGCAAAAATTAACGCAAAAATGGTTATAATCGTTTTGGAAATTAGCGATTATTGATTCTCATCAGAGGCACCATATCAGTTTGCTACGCGCCGCTATACAGAAATCGAAATACCAAATTTCTATAAAAGTTTCTCGACACCTAAGCCTGCGTTCTTATAGATATTTAAGCGCGTTGGAGAAGGGTTCAACAAAGAATACAATAGCTTGGCCAACGATGATAAGCTAACCACTGACTGTGTCATTGATAATAAGGAGCAATATACACGATTTCGCACTGAACTTATACAACGTCAAAACAAAGAGTATAGCGGAAAGCACGCATGCAATAAGGCCGAAACGACCTATGCAAGACATGTGCGATACCATGGCAGTCTATATTCTCGATTTTGACCTTAGTCGCCTGTGGTTCAAATCTTGTCCTGGTAGACGATTGTTGTTAGAAGATGGATCCACCCGCCATTGTGACTGCTTCTTTTGAATCGCCATTTCTAAGTACTATTCGTCTTCATGTAGAAAAATTTAAAACGTTACCTAACTGTGGCGTCCTATGTCAATTCTATTTATATATCTAGCTTCTAATTATTTTTGACAGATGCTAGGCAATAGACAATTCTGCGACAGTATTGTTCTACTGGTATAATCTGGTGTATACTTCTCCGTTTCACAGGCCATCTATAACTTACGTGTAGCTCATCTAAACTCGGTGTACGCGTTCCAGATCGCAGTCTCATAATAGGAAGCAACACTTTGAAACGTATATCTTATGAATACGCGATAAATGTTGCTGATTGAGTCATGTACAAAACATGGCAGAATGTTCGTTCAGTTTTCTTATCTATCCCGTGCTGTATTACCGCGGCGCTTTCAACTGTTACTAAAGAAAAAAACGTGCCCTTCAAGGCATAACAGTACACGAATTAGTAAAAAAAAAAAACACGTAATGACAATCGCAGCAATCACAAACATCACGAATCAAGCAACTTGTTAATACCGTTAGATTGAAACTTCGCTATCTGGTAGCTACTAAAACAGGCAATATCAATCTAGGTTTGTAGGCGATGCTTAATGTCGAACTAATATGCCAGCAACACAGTATAATATACGAATAGTCTGACGCAGAAAAGCGAAAGGACTTTGCGCAGAAAAACTAAGTATACGATAGGTAGAACTCTACGGTGTTGATATTGCGATAAAAAATTCAGAGTAAAAATCGACGATAGTTTTAGCGAAGGGAAAATCCACTATTCAAGGGTACCGATTTGGTGCTCTAATAACAAATTAGTTCAAGTTACTTTGTCACGAAAAAACACCAAATAGCTGAACGATGCCAGTTAAATAGGTCGGTGTAGAAATGAAAATAATTGTTAGAGTTTTTTTTTTTTATTAATAGATGAAAAACTATTTTCAATGCCAACACATATCAACATATTTTAACATGACGAATCTGTATAATGGATAATTTATTAGTATTTGAAAACTCTTTGAATATGAAAACAGTTCTACCTACGTACATCCACTACAGTATATGATTTGCCAACATGTTGTACTAGTGTTGGGATATTGAATATTATGAAATGTTGGCCATGCACATGCAAACAAATTCTACATAAATGTAAAGCAAAATATACAAAACTATAAATTATTATAAAAGTAAAATGATTTACTATGCACCCATTAACTATAGCCAATTATACTATAGAGGTAATCGTATTTTCCCACCTTAATTGTAACCTCATAGCAGCGGAGGCTCCCATCGACGGGATGACTAAGTTCCACTGAACTGGCCATAATAGGCCAAACGCCTATAATCCTTATTGAGTATCCTAAATGCTTCGCGAACAACGAAATAAACATATGCCCAAAGTAAAGGACTGGTGATTCCTTTGAGAAGTTTGAGTGAGTGACAGAAAACAGACGATAAACGGATAAAAAAACAAAACGAAAAGAAAAGAAATTAATGGTTATATTTTTGCGTACTTAAACGTCGTTTCGACATCAGAAGAACGAGATTAAAGAATTAGGCGCGGTAGTGATTCGCGAACAAACAAGATAGTAGAAAGCCTATTTCGTGTTAGAACAAGATCTAGCGGTCTACTTAATGCCAATCGGCTTTACTTATTATCATATTTTACTAGATTATACAGATAATATTCGCGTCGAAGAAGAGCTAGCTATCAGCAAACACAGATAAAGACCGTCGAAGCTCGAAATGAAATTCGAATTTATTCCACTGTGTATCAGCTATGTTACATTAGCTAGAGATGCTTTTATTTCGAAACTCCAATATATATACGACACACTTATCGGGAAAGCTGAAAGAAATTTCCCAAGATTAACTCTATTAATAAATGTCATTTATTTTTAATGCTCAAATCTCGTTTTCAACTTCTTGAGCGGTTAATAGATACTGAACGTTACCCGGGGATGGGGGACTGGTATCTGTCGCTCCGCACCTACAGTTCAGGACCTTTATAAGGGCGAGTCTTTGTGAGTTTGCTCTGACTGTAACCATCGATTACGTATTTCGGGGTTCATTTGTCTAATCTGAAAGCTGTTACAGATTTTTCGCATTGTCCCACACGGATACTTCTCAATGTGAAATAAGACAAAAAACCTAAATTATATCGTATCGCTAATTTTACACGCCAAGATAATTGCCAGCACTGAAATTACGTATCACGTTCGCATACAGATGACCGTTACACTTGAGTTACTTATTCCAGGAGCACTTGACCACGGCTTCTTTCGTGAGACTGCTCTGCAAACGCTGTTAAGACGACACCAACCCGGAAGATGAAAATCAGAGTCACTCACTGAATAGCCTATCTAGTCTTCAATGCACAATCACAGACCAGAAGTGCCTCGCTAAGTGGAGAGCCAACATTAAGATTGTTTATTCTCGAATGCATTGATTTTTTGTGCCAAATGTCTACACTTGACACAAATATCAATAAATTGATTAAATTTGCAATCAACATAGGGTGAACTTTGTGAGGGTAGAGGCTTCCACCCAATTTATTTATACTACTAAAACTGTGTGTCCGTTTGTTTATTTATTTATATGCCCGACCCAAATTGGGTTTTTGAGGTGATCGAATTGGACTGATTTTTAGCGGCTCACTAGAGTTTCGTCCTGAAAATAGCTATGCGCATAGCATAGAGCCAATTTACTGAACATTTTTTTACACACTCCACAAAGCATAACGTTAATCATATGCACATATGTTTATGAGAAAGTTATAGGGCTGAAATGGGCCATATTTTGACGAGATTTCTGTCGAAAGTTGTTTATACTGACAAAATGGTAGCCTCCTATTTAGATGGTGTTCTCTGCGGAAGGTCGTTCTTAATATCAGTGAAAAGCGCTCGCTGATTTCAGTCAAAATCTATATATGTCTTTGAATTTAAAATAGATACTTCGGCGTGAAACCCTTCAAAAATGCATCGGGGAGTCCGTCTCACCCACGTAGCAGTGGGGCAGAATTCTTCAGTGCTTTTTTGAGCGGATTTCCGATACGTATCTATCGAAAAGTTGTAGCGGTTAGTATAGTAAACACTGTTCGAAAATAATCTTTGAAAAAAATTTCTAGGAAAAATAACGGAAGATAACGTAATATTTTACTGACGCAAAATTGATAAATCTCAGTAACTGTTACGTACACCTACACTTAAAATTGACATTTTTGAATGAAAATTTCGAAAACCTTATTGTTTTGCCTGTGTAACAAATGTCAATTGTTTGCACAATGTTTTGCACAAATTTGGAGTTAATTTTCTTCATCTTCAAGCTTTCGTAGCGTCCTGGGAACAGAATAATGCACCAAATATATATATACGTATATGTATCTACTTATTGCAAAAAAAATAAGGACGAAGGACGTGATGGACATTTAAATATTTTTTATGAAAAAAAAGTTACTAACAGAATTAGAAACAAAAATCTATAGATTAGCCGAATCCAGTAAATCCAAAATCGATAATAAAAAAACACTATCGACATAGGTAATATGTTAATGTGGTGTTTTAAGCGTCTGTATTGGAAACAGCAGTTTGAAAAATGTCGGCTTGGATCATAATTTACTAGATGACATAGATCTGATTTGATCTGGCGGGATCCGGCTGCACGGGTTTTTTTATAGGCAACCTTATATGATATATTATAGGCATATTTTCTAGTACTAAGTACAACTAAGTAGTTCTAATTGTTCCGATCAGACAGGCGGATATTTGAAGTTACGCGATAAATCGACCCACTTTGATTGTAATTATCGATAAATTGGTCGGTCTCATTTTTTAGTCTAGAGGAATTTAATTTACATAACGATGTTGACTAAAACATTAACCCATGATAACTTTATTTGCCTTTCAGCGGGGGGACCATCTCATCGATGATACTCAACTAACCGTGGATGGCAGTGGCGATGATCTGAGAAACTATGGTCTGTCCCTTTATGGCCCGCCGTCTTGAACTCTTCAAACAAAATGAATATTTCCAAATATATATTCAGGAAATTTACTGTTTTATATAAAATTTCCGAAATATTATTACCTGTTAAATTACGAATTACTGGATTTGATTGTAAAAATCCAAATTAATTAAGCCTAATCCAACCAAATTAATCCTAGCAGCGAATACTTCAGTATTATAAAAAGTACTACTACTCATAAAGCTAACGTAATATTACTGAGTAGTTATATGTCTAAACGAGTCATTGCTTAGACCTTCAGGTTACTTCGATAAAACATGTAGAATTAATTAGATTTTAACATTATTTTAGTAGGGCGTAGCTTTCAACCGTATTCAATATTTTGTTTCGTACTATTTAGCAGAATGAGGCGGAGGTCAGCAAGCTAATAGTTCAAATACATTCAAGATACCCATAGAGGGTACCTACGATGGAAGAGAGCGTGGTGGTATGAAGCGCCAATAACAAATCGATATGACCAAACTATCAAGTGACATTTAATCATTTTTTTTAGTAATTCATTAAAATGGACATAATACTGCATTAATTATATATTATGTATATTAAGAAAAAAAAAAAACAGAAATTGTCCTGTTAGCCCATACTAGCTTGCACACATAATCATTTAGCAGCTATAAAGTGGATAATAAATCAATGAAATAGTGTTGTCATTACATATCAATAGATGTTGATGTTACTGGTAGCATCGTTTTCAATAGAAAAGTAACTTATACGACATTGTATATCAATGGTGACTGTTCGAGTTAACTTTTTTTGCTTCATAATCTGTTCTCGGTTGTGTTTCGTTTTAGTTCCTCCGACACCCTCAGAGGGGCGTTACTTTGTGAAACAGGGTAAGAGACTTCAGTTTGATCGATGCTTTGCAGTTAAATTTTTCACTGTTACTTTTGTGTGTGCGGCTGAATATCGTGCTTGCTTCTTATCTATATCGTTTAAAAGTATTTATGCCGTATAGATACGCGGTGAGGATGATTCCAATGGCACCTGAGAAAAGCAACACTTGACCAGCAACTTATTTTTCGCTTCGATGCCGCATGCAGGGGCCAAATCACGATTTGGAATATAGTTTGTGAGCGTTATCTTTCAAATGAGTGCGTACTTTCGTGCCTAAAGTCCAAACATGGAAATTTGTCTCTGTGCGATTTTTCCTCATTGGAAGGCTGTCCAATGTACGCTCATAACCAAACGGCTATAGACTAATATGGCTGACATACCAGAATGGTAGGTGCTTTAACAAATTATGCAATAGGTCGTTTTTAACAACAATAATAATAATAAAATCAAATGGGCAAACTATGATATATTGTTGGTTGTGTATTTGACTCATTGCAGACACCGTGAAGCACAAAGATGCTCTTCACCGTGACGAGAAGGTATGTCAAAACGGCAGTCGTTCCTGTCACCATTGGACAACGCTGAATCAGCTGGAGCATGATCTATCCAACACACACACACACCCAGTCGAGCTTGAATGCTTACCCAAACATTACTTTGAACTATGCTTGAAGAAGCGTTCTCATTACGAAGATAAATAAGACAGCTCGTATTAAGCGTTAGAGTTCGACCGGATCGAATCAGAGAGCCACAAGTCTTAACAATTGCTTTCATAGCTTCAATATATGAGTGCCGAAACATGAGAAACTCGGCCAATATCTAGCATTTCTCATATAATAATAATAATAACCCATCTCTGGTTTTAGTTTAACATAGAATTTCCAAACTCTACCTCAATCGGATATTAAAACACTTACATAGTCCAGCAAAAGATTTTACTTAAAAATCATGGTATTTTATTTCTACTTTTGCACTAAATTTAGGGCAGCGGTTGTACAACTTTAGGTTAGGTTAGCTGTTAGGTTAGGTTAGGTTAGGTTAGGAAACAAATATATATATATATATATATTGTTTCCTGCAAGCGATTATAGGAAGAAAATTAGTTATTTTCCCTAGTCTAAAGAGGCGTCCTTGATCGGATAGGTAAGGCACTGCCCACTTTAGTTTTGCTGTGATATACAGGGGTTGGGACATAAATAATGTAATTAGTTGACGCTTTTATGTGGGCACAAATTCCATCGACTTCGTAGGAGGAACACGTAGCGCATCGCGAGCGTCACCACCGTCAACGTCACCGCCAGCCGCATCAGCAGCAGCACAGCCATAACCGCCATCAGGTACACGGGGGTGCGTATGAGGACGGCGGCCTTGGAGCGGCCCACGCGGACCGTGAAGATATCGAGCATTTTGGCAATCAGGTGGCCGAAACCAGTGCTGTAATCGCGTCGTTCAACAAAGGACCTCACGAAGGCGGTGATAAGATTGAGCCATTTGTAACAGCCAAAGACGATAACGTCAGAGAAAGCAGAACCAAGGATAACCCGTTGAAGCAACTCGAGGTTGATTCGAGACGTGGAACAAACGAACGCCAGCAACCTCTTGATACTGGTAGACCAAACAAGCTATATGTTAAATGACGTTACTCTTTCATAACAGCTGACATGGTAATATAGAGATGCACATTTTCCCAAAAGTTGTCTTGCTATGGCGTTCCGCTCCCACTGAACCTGGTTGTTAGGCATAGTATGATAGTTACAAATTTGATCTGGCGTCAGGCGCATATCGCTCGATGGTTTAGATATGCTTTACGTAATTTAAGAACAACTCATCTGGAAAGTACGTAACCATTTCGATAGATACCGACGGCTTAATGCCTTTTGAATTCAAGTACATCGATCTACCATTTGCTTCGTCCTCAGACAACGCGATAGGCTATCACACAGCGCTTCTATCCACGACCCTGTTCTTATCAACAAGTGAGCGGCCAACGACCTTTGTCGTCGAGTATAATAACTATGACGCCAAAAACAACGGAGCGATACTGTCTCCGGCTGAGGCGGACATAGGTTACATGGATAACCATAGTACCAAACACGAAACCACGCAAACACGTCGTCTTGAAGATTTGTCGGCACCACCGTTCCGTGGACGGGGCGTCGGTAGCAGTCAGTTTATGGCCACGGCTAGGGATGATCGTAGCACAGCGGCAACAGTACCAATGACAGCAAACGGAAAAATGAAGGCAATGGACGAACTCACCCATGTGAGGGACAGCGAACTCTTAAGCACACATGACGTCCGGAAGCATATCGTGTATAGTCAAGCGAATGCTAATCATGATGAAGAAGAAGAGGGCAGGGCGGATTTCAGCGGTACGATGAATAGAAGATTATACTATGGATATCGATTGCCTGGATAAGTCTCTCACCCGCACCAAAGAATAAGTAACACAGCCTATAGGGCTTGACGAGAGCACCTCGGTCTACGCCACAGGGCTAACCAAACCACTTGAGAACATCTTGCTTTTTTGTATGAATGAATGTTTGTTGGTAATATGTGTATTATCTACACAGAATGTGATGAGTGGACAAAAAAAGAATGATCCAGGTGGCACTAACCTGAACTAATTAAGTTACGAACGAACAATGCTTATAGCCATCGTGGCTATGCGGCTGCGTTTTTTAAATCGACTAACAATGCGTGAAGTGTTAAACCTTTGCCTGGCAACCTAAGGTTGATCTCCGGTTAACGCTCAAATCGCTAAAATTATGACTATTATTACTACAAGCACTTCTTGCATCACTGACTATGGTGAACGTTTGATTCACTGCCTACCTTTCACGTATGCTATTAATGCCCACAATATCACGTCAACAGACCTTTTCGAAAATTTCGACGCTGAGTAGTGTCTGTTTTCGTAACAGAGGTTTACTAATTTAGCTGGTAATTTTTTCGTAAAGACGATTGGAGACAATTAATAGTAACTTGGCAAGTTTATACATTTAGTACAAAATGTTACTTGTCCCTTTTTATATTCTAACAAACTATATTAACATGTCCAAGATTTCATAACTTTTTACATGCGGATTTCCAAGCTTTAGCTAGGTTTTTGTGTTTGAGGGCCAAGCAATGCACGACAGCTAAGGGAAGCTAAGAATAAGTACAATTTAATACTGAACTATAGAATTACGGCTTTTAACAAGATTATACATATATTCATTGCTTTTTTGTACACAATGCTTCCCCGTGCTTAGTAGTTTAACAGCGCCTTTGCGTCCGCTTAATAACACAGATTTTTTGACGAAGCAAATCCCTCACAATGCGTTTAAAATAGAGTGTTATTCATACAAATCTGCTCATTGAATTTGCTTGCCATAATGATAGATGCAGAGTTGCACCTGTTCGAGTTTCAGCAGTTACGAATACTGTGTTAATTTATTTAGGCGAAGGAGAATATATTGATGCTGAAAATCGCTTGGACTCCAATAAACAAGCAGACGTTGTCCTGCCTAACGACGTACAGGCCCGCGAGGACCTGGGAAGTGGTCAGGGGGACAATAACGCTGAAGAGAGTCCATTGTATGACAGTAACCCTAAGAGCGGCCAGGGCTTCCAAGAGTCAAGTACCGAACGACCGGACAATCGTTTGGACACTGTAGGCCGTACAGATGAAAAGATCGCGCAAACCGATGAGGAGGGTTGTAAGGAGCCGGACGCAGATATGAGTAATGCCGTCGAGGAACACGTCGCCAAGGTACATTCCAATAAATAGCATCGTCTGGACAGTTGAAGTTCCATTGCTGCGTTCCGCATACTTCCATATTGTTGCTAGTTATTGTATGAAAATGATTATTATTGTTGTATATATACAAAACAAAGGTGATTGGTATAGGGGTAGGTAAGTAATACTTTTTTACGGATTTTCTGTGAGCATTGCTAGAATTGAATATAATAATTAAATATATTGCTCGGGTTATAATCAACAAAGCTCTCCCAGGGATTTTCACGGAATTTTCTGCATACTTTCATTGATCTCTCCAGGACGAACGTTGCAGCTTCGACCTTTTGGCTGCTTGGATTGACGAAAACAAGCACGTAAGTCTATAAATATAGTATAAATTATACTAAAAAAAAGAAATATGCTTATATACGTACGTATCTATATAAATTGGCCTACATACTTGTGCATCTTCTTGCGTTCTTGCAAGTGTAATCTAAGCTCATCATAATTATAACTGATACTCCAGGGGCTGCGAGAGAAGCTTCGTGGCCCCGCGGGAAATTGCAGCTGCTCTTCGGATTTTGTCAACCTCGAGACGCTTCGTGGACAGGCTGGAAGGGATGGACGGGATGGACTTGACGGAACTCCTGGACGCCCTGTAAGATTCTGTCATATAGGTGTTGCTTTATTTGTTTGCTTTTACAGCTAAACAAAATTGTTTCTAAACGATTTTCGCTCTAAAAAAGAATGGTTCAACGCTTGCTTTACTTCTGTCTAAACATGGAAAAGCTGGTCTCGATAGATAATCTAAATTGAGAGTGCCGATTTTATGGGAGTACAGGGTCTACCTGGATCGGAGGGTCCCCGTGGAGAAATGGGACTTCCAGGCCCAGAAGGTCCACAAGGTCCACCTGGACAACAGGGACCTGCAGGGCCCCGTGGTGAAAAAGGTGATTCAGGCTCAGAAGGCACGCCTGGTATGCAGGGACCACAGGGGCCGCCCGGACCACCGGGGCCACCAGGACCTTCGCACGGCAGATATTTTGACGTGAGTATATCGATTCTCGTTAACGTTTTTTTCTTGCAATAGACGTTGAGTGAAGCGGTAGTTTTTGTCATATGGTCGGACACGTATGCATATTGTTTATTAGTGAATTGCATTAACGTATGCGGTCCCGGAGACACACATGATTCTCTGTCTTCAACTGAACGTAGTCTTTAAAATATCGATGCGAATATTTAATGATTAACGTGATACTGTACTCTGCATGGCGTCCTGCAGTATTACATTCTAATTATCGTATGTTACTATATGTTTATTTATATGTATATTTAATTAATTTGTTACAGTGTAATTATGGCAATTATATAACGACCACAAAAATTAATGAAAAATCAACTCATTAATCAGATTGTCGCTTGTTGTCATTTAAAGTTTGACACCGGTTTGGCTGATGGTACCTATGGCACATATATGGGTGCACCTGGACCAGTAGGACCGCAAGGATCTCAGGGTCCGCCCGGTCCAAAGGGGGCGCGCGGTCCTGGAGGAGAAAAAGGAGCCCCAGGAGAACCCGGTACTAAAGGCTTCCGAGGGCTGCGAGGACCGCCGGTAGGAAACTCAGTACTATAGACATATTATGCAGACTCACTCTTCAGGCATGATTAATTAGGCTATGCATTGATAAAAAAAATGGACCCCATCAATTGAGTAATTTTTCCGCCTTAGTCTATGCTTTAGTACTATAGAAAATATATAACATATTTGTTTTACTCAGGAGCTGGTGACTCTCCTTTGGGATTTATTGACCTAAAAATAGATCAAAAGAACCTGTTTGTATACCTTCTTGTGCAGTTAAAAAAACAAAACCGAATCACACACCGTTATACTCAAGCTGATGTGCCGATAAAAATATGAATAGCATACTAAGCTATACGAGTTATTACATACCGATAGATTCTATGTCGTTTTTTTAGGGGGTCACCGGACGACAGGGAAGTAAAGGTGAACCAGGTATACCTGGAGCCTATGGACGACCCGGAGCGCCTGGCCGAGTAGGCGAGCGCGGTCCCCCAGGAGAGCGCGGCGAGAAAGGAGACCCAGGAATTGGTTTGCCTGGACCTCCAGGACCACCAGGACGAAGTGTGCTGACACATGATGATTACGAAAATGGACTTATACTCGAGTCCATCAAAGGTATGACGATTCACGTATCACGATTTGTTTTGTTAGATTAAATCTTTGGTATGCTTTATCGTTATAGCAGTTTTACGATTTCGCGACAATTTTGGACTGCATACACACACACACACACATATATATATATATATATATGTGTATATATATATATAGCCTTTTAGCATCAGTGAAATTTTCATTCTCATTGTTACTGTCAACGATTTTGTTAGATGGTCATGCATTACGACAAAAAAAAAACTGCTGGTTTTTTGTGGGCACCGAAGGTCACAATGGGAGTTTGTTGACGTCGAAATATAACAGTTTATATACATTTCTACCACTGTTACCATTCTTCGCAAGCGATAGTTAGGGACCATACATCCCCTGTACACTCTCCCACTGTCAGTGGTCATGGTAGGCTAGTGTCGAAAAGGTCCAAACTGGACCGAACTACGACGCTATTGGTCGATGACACCTCGACCACTTCAACACGAGCAAGCCATATGACCGGTCCTATGACACTGTTTTGGATAAAGCAAAATGGCGATCGGGTTTATGTGGTCGAATAAAAATCGAGCGAGTTTGATTTATTATTACTGTAGGTAAAAGTAGCGCCGCGTTAGTTGATTTCAACTTGATACGCTTAGGCACAGACGGACGTACACGTACACGTAGATGGACCCACATATGGCCATCAGATCTGTTGGCAGTGTCACCTATAGTTGTCGATACGCGTGTTATCGATAAATAGTAATAATCATCATTGTAAGGATGATAATTATAATTGTGCGGGTCCATGAAGAAGCCTCGTTTCAATTTAAGCCGAAAGTAGCGTAGGAACGGTGGAGTTTCAACAAATAATCTAACCTTTCGATCCTGCAAACTGTGCTGTAAAATATCCTGCTGTAAAATACCCACAAGCATGTGGTACAGTATCGAATATTATTTCAAAACTATACTATATATATATATATATATATATACATTTCGAAAGATTTTTTTTTTTGGTTCAATGCGGAGCTTCCTTCATTTTTTCAGTAAAAGGTACATTTCATTTGCCGTATATTGGTTATAAAATACATTTCAAAATTGCAAAAAAGCAAAATTCCCGTTTACGATTTCATAATTGTTTTGGGAGCTACTTTATTAATTAATTTGAACAAATGGTGAAGTGCCCTTATAGAACATTTCTAAAGCAAAATCTGGTATCTCAGTAAAAACAACAAATATTTTTATCTGATTTATTCCAGTTAGCGATTTCTCGTAATTGGTGTTTAGTTCAAGAAGTAAATTATTCAGTTTATCATGTGCGCTGGCAGTTCACATAAATTGTTTCATTCCATTAGGTGATAAGGGCGACCCTGGCGTGAACGGATCCGAGGGAGCGCCAGGGCTTCAAGGTGAACCTGGTGAACGGGGACCCCCAGGGCCCGTAGGCCCCAAAGGAGAGGCAGGACCTGTCACCCTACTTGGAGATAACGTAGCTATACGTGTTATGGTTAGTCACTGGGAACTACGATCTCAAACAATAAAACATTCCTTCATAGATGTCGGGGACTAACACAGATCATGCTAGGTTCATGAACAGTTAAAGGTTATACCTCCAAAAGTATATTCTAGATTTATGACCTGCTGTTTTACAGTCCCTAAGCTGCAGGTGTAAGCAGCTCAACAATTCTACAGTGGCGGTAAGCGTAGTTGAACTAAGTTAAGTGGAAGGCATTCTATAAATATTCTGGGCAATTTATGTAAGTAATAGTTGATAAAAAAAAAAAATCATCACCTCTGGGTTTCTATGTTTTGTAATTTTTCCGTTGTAGAAGGGAGATAAAGGTGATACCGGACGTCGAGGAAAGCGCGGCTTTCCAGGGCCTCCAGGTCCCTCACAAGGTCCTGAGGGCCCGCCAGGTCCTCCAGGACCACCTGGTATCCCTGGGCGTAATCTCGGAATTAAGGGAGACAAAGGAGACCCAGGACCACCGGGTGTCGTTACTGGCGCGGTAAATAAGCTTCATAAAAAAAATTTAAGCGAAAAACGGCTTTTCTACAGGAGGAGAAAAACTTAAAGCATAGAAAAACCTTTCATTAGCTTTTTGTGTGAAATACTGAATTGATAACGCGTCCTAGGCTCTTCTTTTCTGCATTACTAAGTATTTTCGGTGTTAATCGACATAAAGCCGCTGGTAGTATCGTGTACTGAATTATATATATATATATATATTATTTTGTGTACGAGTTAACATATGAATTCCTCCTAAAACATCAAGTGGCCTTCATGTGAACGAATGCCGCATTAAATTAGATAGATAGTATTCATTTTGTAGGTAGGCTTAAATTGCACATTGATTTCACTCGATCAGCGCTAGCTTCTTAACAGCGGCTTAAGGGCTATTTCCTTTACCTGGCCGTTTATAAAATCTTGCTTAGGGATAAAATATATTCAACTCTATAATGCCTTACTGTAGTTCTGAAAAACGCGTGTATAATTAAATTTTCACCCATTTGGTTGACGCCACATTGCAGAATGGTGACGTAATCCGTGGAGAGCCTGGTGACCCAGGACCGGTTGGACCTCGTGGCGATGTTGGCGAACGTGGTGAAAGAGGTGAACGTGGACTACCCGGTCCGCCAGGACCTCCCGGGCCTGTGACATTCTCGGATGGAAGCTCATTTGACGTGGCAACAATTAAAGGCGAAAAGGGCGAACCAGGATTAGGAGTGCAAGGTCCCCCCGGACCACAAGGAGCCCAAGGAGTTGGGGCTCCTGGACCGCCCGGGCCCCCTGGACCTCCAGGACCGGCAGGACCAAGTTGGGATACTTCCTCAAACGGCAATGGCATGTTCAATATCAAGCTGAATTTTCTGTATCCTACTTAAGTAGGGAATTACCTGCGAGTGTATACCGATTGTCGCTTAAGACTAACTAAAAACAGAGTTTAAGATCACGGCGTCTATATTGTTTAAACAGGTTTTTGTTTTCAAAATTACAGCACCTGTAAGCGCCATGCTTCGTGCTCCTGGACCAATGAGTAAGTGACTCATGCAAAATTACTACTCGTCCTTTGGAACTGGCCAAAAAATCTTCAATTCAATCGAACTTTTACTGAACATACTGGCCTCAAATGTATCTCATTTTGCAATAAACAGTAGCTTTGAAAGGCAATGCTTCTGTGTAAATACAAGAAAGAAGCACTAACTTTATAAAAAAATGTTGTCTCCAATTTATTCCATCCCGATAACAACGAATAAATAAATAACGTAGTTGAATCAAAGTACGTAAAATTGCGATGCATTTATGCATGGCACCTCTACCGCGCAGGTCCCAAAAGTCAGACAAAATCTGATCTAGTCAATCATAAAATTCCTTCGCGCCTAGACATTTGGCGTCTATCAATAATATATATTATAAGTATATATGCGTAATGAAACAATATAAGACCTATTTCTGTGAACTGCAGTGTCACACTTCATGGGTCCTCGCGGTCCACCAGGGCCTCCAGGTCCACCCGGAGAGTGCACGTGTCATTCAAACCAGAAACCTTCTCAGGTGGGTGTACCAGAGTCTGTAAAAGGGCTTACGGATCTTTATATTTCCTCCAAATGTTAATGCTAGTAACGGCTACTTAAGGTTACAATTAATATTGCAATGGAGCGAAACATTGATAGCACGCGAGGGTTATAAAAAGCTGCGGTGTTTGTGACGTGTTCTGTGACTGTAAATTTTCATCAACTAAAATTTGGACGCACTATATTCGATGAGGTTAACGTTACTTTTTAACGTTTTCGATTAATTCTTTGGGTATTGATCTAATGTTTACGTCTGCTGGTCCTAAATTTTTATGATTCCTATTGTAATTGGCGTTCATTTGCTGCGCATGTGCTGCTTTTAGAAAATATTTAAGTACAATAATAATAATCAACTACAGTTTCTTGCAAAATAATAATAATAACTAACCAAGTTTATTATTATTATAATTAGTATACACATGGGCTGTACCAAATCTGGAACGTCATATGGTGCCTAGACTAAGGGTGAAAAAAATACAATATAATCGAGAAAAATCTTACTTTGTTGCATGGTCAATTAAGGTCGTACCGGGCGGCCTGATCGTGAAGGATCAGAAGGCTCTCCACGAAATAACAGACTTCACTTCTCCTGGCGTGTTGGCATACATCGGCGATGATGAGGCGCTTATGCTTCGCGTACCTCAAGGATGGCAATACGTTGGGGTGGGTCTATGTAATATTCACTAAAATGAGAAAGCTTTTTGCTGGATAGTGTTCGCATTTCGGTTATGATAGATCAATACCAGAATAGGGAAGCTAAACATTGTAAGATCTTTATTGACTTTACTTCGTGGGGCTAGTATCTTCATTGTTGGACCATAAGGCTGCTAGTTGATTTTTTCATTTCAGCTTGGCCCTACAATTCTTCCTGCGATCACAGCAACAACATCCACAACGGAACCACCCAGACCACCTTTAACAGCAGACGACCTTAGAAATGTTCCCACTGTGAGTGCATTTTCATTAATGACTATTTAGGTCCCAAAGGTTTTAGACTCAAAAGCAAAACATAATCTGCACCTTTGAACTTTTTAGCTTCTAAACTGCTATATGGTGTTTTCTTTCTTTTCAGTTCGAACAATACCTAACCCAGCTATAATTTTTACTTTAGAAACGTTAATATCCTATTTTACATCGATGTATTAGGTAGGTATAATAATATACAGGAGACAGAGAATATTATTCGAAAACAGGATGGGTGTCGTTCTGGAGAAACGTTACAAGAGAGAAAATTAACCCGCTAGTTGCTTAGTAACAGCTGAAGTCTACTCGACAGCCATTGGTTTCGCGTGGGATGAACATGGGACGAGGCCTATATGAAGGCTTAGACCAGCGTGACATTTACAGTGGTTACATAGTAATCCCATTGAGTTTTGGGTATTAGCGTTCACTGCGATAGAGTTGCGTAGTTCTATTGAAACCCTATGAGGCACTGCTACAATAGCGCATGACAAGTGGGTCTATCCGACATCGAGATGTTAGTTATTTCCAAAGTGGGTGTTAATATATAACAATACTAGACTAGGCATATGTTATGAGCAATTTTATATCTTTTTTGGAACATTTTTAGTAATAAAAAATCACATCGTTAAATAATCGCATTTGATCCATGTAGGCTCTGCCACGCCCGTATTGCTCTTCGTTTGTTCGAAGAGTAAGTCCCGTTTACGAACACCATCCCTCACAGGGATTTGAGAGGGTTATTAAGCCTTACCCATTGTTTCAAAATTTTTTTAGGAGGCACCAAATTGGAATTTTTTTATTTCGTTAATATTTGCTTCGATACAATTTCGAAGGTTCCAGGCAAGGACCTTAGAGACTATTGTCTAATACAAAATTAACTTTTTTACGCATGCTTGCCCGTATAAAGAAGAGACGCAAGGTAAGGATGTTCGCTTGCCAATTCTAAGTGTTGCAGAAGTTGGGTCTGTATTGGGCCTGCACAGATTGCCAGTCTACGTAAGATGAATATGTTCGAGTTCGGCATCATGGGCTCCTTTATTTCCTTCAATTTTCCAATCAAAGTGCAAATAATCTATAACTCGACTATAGCAAAGTAGCAAAAGCAAGCTTCTCCAACCATCAGAATCAACAAAAAAATGTAGCCATCTATCGATAGTGTTTGTTCTATCGCCCTATTAATTTTACACTGCATTTTCTATTACATTTCAGATTCGTATGGCGGCATTGAACTCTGCGTCTAGCGGTGATATGCACGGTGTCCGTTCCGCGGACTATGAATGCTATCGTGAAAGTCGGAACGCCGGTCTAAATGGCACATTCAAGGCATTTCTTGCCTCCAGGTACGATTCTGTTCTATTGAAACAGATAATCGAGTCCTACACCTACGCGTAGGTCGAGCTAACCTCTACATATGCTTCGGCAATCTCTGTAGAGGTTTGTGTAAGCAACTGATAAGTGCAGTCAAGTTAATTTGGCATTTGCAAATTTAAGGCTCAGCAACCCACTTTAAGGTTACGAGCCATTCATGTGGTTGTTGTATCGTAAATGATAGCAGAGGGATCTGAGATACATTGTTCCTACAACTAAGGCACCCAAGCTGCCTGCTATATATGCTTAGACAGTATCACAAGACACCCGAAATTTAACTGAACAGGCCAAGGATCAATCAGGCCATCCCTGATACGTACGCCACAATCGTCAACTCTCAGACCATATATGGCAAGAAGTGAAAATGTTCGGTTTTATGCTCTATCGAGAAACAAAGCCTTATGCGAGGTCTACGAACGTCGACCGAGGCAGAACGGTGCAATTTCTCTTCTATCAGTTTTTCTCTCCATGCAACCAGCCAGACAGATGGATACATCAAACCTTCATCTTACTGAGCGTGATAGTTTTGCTATTAGTTAGCTAAATTTTATATATATGAAGGTTTCTTATGTCAGTTAATGGAGTCGTGCTTTTTCTAAGGTATATGTACATTCTACTGACTCACAGGGTTTGAAAATGAAATGGTATATTCAAGCGTAGCAATGGGCATTGTCTACAGAAACTATACCTAACTAAATCCACCTAAGGACAGATCACTGTAGGCAATTAATGAGTAAGCATAGAAAATGAGACATATTTCTCTTTCCGTTTTGGCAGGATCCAGAACGTGGACTCGCTAGTACGGGCTCGTGATGCAATCGCGCCCGTGGTGAACCTCAAGGGCGAGCTGTTATTCAACTCGTGGCGGGAAATCTTTTCCGGGGGTCTCGGTCACTTCCCGATTAGCCCGCGCATTTACTCATTCGACGGGAAAAATGTCATGAACGACCCCTCATGGTACGGGTATTCATCTACATACATTCTATCTATTATCGACCAAATACAAATACCTGTATGGATTCATTCTTGAGTAAACCGCAATTCTTTACTTAGCTTACTGGACTCATGCGGCCTTCGGCAAGCTGGTACTAGTCGAGAAAAACCAAGCACAAATGATGACTTGTCACGGCAAAGTATCAAAAGATATAACAACATATCTGCTGCAGTCTGTTATAACCATAGCGAAAATTGTGCAGCACTACATGACTGCCAACTCCACAGACCTTATTTAGGCATGAATAAAAAGCCTACGTATTAGTATTAAGATTGCCTGTCCGCTTCGTTTTCCCTCTTCTGCTACTGTAGGCCACAGAAGGTCGTGTGGCATGGGGCCGACCGAAATGGGGCCCGCAGTATGGAGAATTACTGCGATGCGTGGAACTCCGCATCTCCACGAAAGACGGGCTTCGGATCGTCGCTTCTTCATGGACGTCTGCTCGATCAGCAAAAATACCCATGCAACATGCGATTTGTCGTACTCTGCGTCGAAGTTAGCAGCAGTCTTTCGAACACCGGCAGTTTCACTCAGTCGGGCAGTCATAACGGAGGACATAGAGATGAGGCTTCTAAGTGGAGACGCCGAAGGAGGTCAGCAAACAATGGAGAGCTGGATGCTCTATCATCGTCGACACCACAACACAAGTTGATGCCCTTCGAGGAGTATTTTGATCTCGCAAACCGCGTCATCGAACCGCGGGACGGAGCAGATAAGGTCAACAAGGACAAAAAATCCAGGGAGAGTTGGTTTGGCGATTGGACCATTGAAAATGACCCGCATCTGTAAAACGTCTGTAAAAGCCGCTCTGCAATAATCATATCGATAAAAATTGATATCAAAATTTCAAGCTAGCACAACATCAGTGGTATCGTTGCATCTGCGAACTGCGAAAACATCATTGGCGATCTTGTGGTGGCTAGCTCGCTGGCCAACACGATCAAATGGCCTTAAGAAAGGTGTTCGCAGCGGTACGAACGAAAAGAGACAAAAAAAACCCTTTTGTACGATAAAAAACAAAACAGGCCATTGATGATTACATCATATGGCACGTACAAAAGCAATCATGGATATACGCAGTCACCTATAAATTCAGCTCAGTGTATAAATCCCCTTTGTCCTTCCGAAAAAGAATGAGAAACAATAATAATAATAATAATACCCAGTATATACATACATAGTTAGTAATTCGACGCTGATGCCGGCGTTATTATAAGTAGAAATAGCGCTTGGTTTATTCTGAATTCTCACTAACTAACTAACTAACGAACAAAGGAAAAAGGAAAAATTACTACATTGAATCGATTATAAACCAAAGCGGAAATAGCACATGGGCCTAAAACCGCAGGAAGAGTGAGCCGACTACGAAGCCTTGAACTGCTACTTTTTTTATCCCAGTAAGAGGAGACATCATCAAAATGGCAACGTCAACTACGACTGAATTTGTAAAACCTATTTATTTATATAGCTAAACCAAACAAGCAAGTAGCAGGGAACAGAAAACAACCAAAGGTACACTAATACTATACAATCCTCCTTCGACGAACATCGCGAGCGATCTGCCGTCTAAATCACCATTCCTCCGTGTACCAAAGGTGACCGCGTTCAAGCGAATGCTAACCTGGTCCTGCTATTACCAAGGTTCTACCGGGAAAAATTGTATTCTGTTTAGGTTAGTTTATATGCTTACTACTGCTACTTATACTATATATACATATATATATATATATACATAATATATGATGATTATAACCAATAGCAACATAATTATTATCATTATATGACAACGCAAGATGCCTACATACGAAACTAGCATGCCAATGGTGCGAATGCTGGTCAGCCAGCTCGAATGTAGCTTCTGTGTGCGCATACATTGTACTGTATTAATTTTTATTTTGGCGTCGCCGGTAACGACGATGCCCAGATGACACCAGTCAGCAGAGCAATGTATCATCATGACATATAGAGAAGCAGAATAATATCTTTTACCGAATTGTGTTTCTGTGAACGCGCGAGTTTTTGAAAATTTCCAAAATCTCCAAAGTTTCGTGCCAGATATTGAATAGTACGGCTGGTAACTGAGTGATGATTTTGAGTGAGTAGTTACGACGATAGATTTCCGTTAACAGTAGTATCTATATATAAACACATATGAATATCAACCTGTGTGTACTTAGCTTCCTTACTTTATGTTATCAAATTGTAGGTGTAGATTATAGATGGATTTATTTTCCTCCAGCATCAGTCGCGACGGTCGTAGAAGGCCTGGCATGTAAACCTCTGTGTGGGGTTTCGTCGTGTTTTGAATCGTAGTCTTATTTTTATGCGGTTTGAGAGACGTGTTAAACGAGTTTGGTCTTGCAATCATAGAGTGCCGTTCAATTAGGTATGTTGATAATATTTCCAATTTTTTAAGATGTCTTTTGCTAGCTCATTCATTGATTTACGACTCCTGATTATCGCGTCGGTTTATAACCTAACAATAGCATAAGCGTGTTTCTACGAGCTGTACCTTGTCTTCATCTTACGTCTCTGATAATTACACCTGTGTACGTTTGTGCATATGACACTGCCTAGGTAATAAGAGCGACACTTATCAAAGGCGTAAAACTGTTGCCAAGTCCTGTATACACTTAATAACTCATACATATTAAAAAAATTCGTTATGCCAATGGATATATACTTTTTTGCAACAGAGAGCCATACAGGGTGTCTGGCGAAAAAAACAATTACGTTGTATGGCTAGCTCTATGAAAGGCAACCAGGTCCATAACAGAGATTATACTAGATGATGGAAAGTATAGCTAAGAGTTAGGACGAAAAACGGAACAGGATAATATAAATTGGGCGAACGGTCTTTGAAAATAAGAGACCTACAAAAGATGATAAAGCAAAAAGGCGTAGGATGTAAGCAGAGAAAAAGGTTTTTATCAAGTACATGGAAATATGCTCGAATGTAGTTTTAATAATTTTACAGGCACACAAACCTTTGTTACTGTACTATTTTTAATAAGTTCTATTATAATAAGATACAAAGTTAATTTACCATTTGCGTCAAGTAGAGATGCTGAAGATTATATATACATACTGATGGAGTGGTAGACACCCTTTACCCACGGGCAGGTTAGTACCTATATCCACAACGGAATTAACCCATAGGCGGAAATTGCCATATGTATGAACATATTGACAAAAGATGCCTGCGAATAAATTTTACCATTCGGTATACGAGAAAACAAATTTAATAAAGTATTGAAATACAAGTATTAGGTGATGATCATTGCACCTACTTACATCACGTCGCATAATTTATTTTTTCCTTCTTTTTTCGTGCTTGCCACCTTGCGTTTACCGTTGAAGCACTTTAGACACGCACAGATTTACGAAACGGTCAGATCAAAACGGTACGCGTTCGCCGCCATTGAGTACGCTGAATCGTACACGCGTACGAATGACTACGAGGTCGCCAAAGCTATCATACTTTCTTAGAGAGCTACCCGATCTCATAATAAAAAAATTAAATAAATAAAAAACTTAGAGCAAGTTTTACTATAGCGGAACTGTAAGGGACCATTGACTCAATCGGTGAATCCTTAAAATAAAACAAGTCCGTCTACTTCAAGATCCTCACATCTCTAAATTCAAGGACAGGGCAGCGACGATTTTGACCACTGCTACTGAATGAGGTGAACGCACTAAACCCCCCTTCTCTCCCCCGGCAATATAGCTTTCAATCGATTCAGAACACGCGCACGATTTTCTCATTGTGGAGACACGTCCCTGTGAGAAGGATGTCCGCTATAAGACTTCTGCACGTACGCACGTGTTAGGATATGTGACCTTTACGATAATAAAGCGATACCAACCTCGCTACCGCTACGGCAGTCATCGAGACATGTATTCTTAACCTGAAAAATTATTGAGTTAGACTGTTTATGAACCGGCCTAGGCTGATTAATTTTTTTCAAATTTCATAGATCAGGCCATTCGCCATGCATGCTTAATAAATACACTTCCGGTCCTCTAATTTTCTAAAATTAATAATTTTCTATTTTAAGGTTTTTATTTTAAAAAAGCACACCTATTCATAGGCAGCAAAAATACATGATTATGATTTATTATTATTTTAGCCTCTATATAATTATATTGTTGTTGTTGTTGTTGTTGTTGCTGTTGCTGTTGCTGTTGCTGTTGAAGTTTAATTAGAGTTTCTGTAAACAGCTGATTGGATCTTGTTAAGTATGTGCTGGCAAACGCTCTGCCGGCTGGTTACCAGCACCCCTTTATTGATTTCCTCTTTAGGGAGTTTCCAATAGAATGAAGCCGCTCTCTCATTTCCTGACACAGAAATGCGATGATAAATTTAAGCAAATTAACTCCTCTTTCTATATTCGTTTACATAGGCTGAAGCGGTTATTCTTCATATAGGTTTACCAGCCCTTATTATATCGAAGGAAGAACTTTTACCAGTGCATTAGTCAAGGTAAAACACACTTCTTTTCCGTACCTTGATTTGCTATTGGCAAGGGGAAAATCTATTATTCCAATTTAGACTGGACAACGTGTTCATAAACGCAAAATGTCTCTACCATTTTCCATTGTTGTCCTATAATAAGGACTTTATTAACGCACAGGAGATTATTTCGTATGGGTAAAGTGTTAGCGTATCTTTTTCAAAGTAACCAAGTACTTTCTAGTCTCCCGAATATTACTCACGTTCAAAGGGATTCATGTTTCCATTCATTACTACAGCCGTCAAAGTTTTTCTAAGTAACCAGTCTTATGTGAGTCCAAGGCAAATCGTTACAACTGCAGGCCGAAGACATCATTTATGCGATAAGTTCTGAGATTTTTCTCCGCGCGAGGAATCCTTAGAAGCGAACATTTTTTCCGAAAATCTTAGCCTCACCCTCTGCTCAGGTTTTCCGTACATAGATCCTCTGCTCGGGACCAACGCAATAGATGAACCTCTTGGGGCTTATGATTGCGGATGCGACATGAGCGTACGTAACATCTACTGGAAGCGGCGTGGGTGGTAACTGGCAGTAGCTTTTTTCTTCCTTTCCAGCTCCCACAAGGTATATGTTTTTGTATGGATATAGATGTCTCACTAAATGTACAAGTGTCCATATATATATTTGTAATTCTTCTTCCGCATATCTCTATTTCGCATATTGCATTATAACAGAATGATAAGCTTTTTTTCATTATTAGACCCCATCAATATAACGTAGTGACATCGCTCACAGACGCGCGTTTTGCTTTCATGTCCTTCGTTCGAAGTAGCCTCGCTCGACGCAAGTTAGTTACTGTTGTCCTATTTCAACAGGATCCTACAAGGTAGGCATAGTTTAATTATCGACGGTCACCCTTAATCTCATCTTAATGACTATTGTATATACACACACACACTGTTATTTGTTGTCAAGGCCAATCAACTATTACTACGTGTCGTATCACGTGCTGAGCCTGAGTAATAATAATGGCGCATTGTTCTTGACCGATATGATGCACGCGCAGATATTTGCTCCATTCGTTTGCCCACGTTAGTTCCACGTCGTAGACGGCACGCGGCACTAACTGTATGCACTAAGAATAGTTGGCTGGTAACGATAGTAACACGCCTCTTCTTCATTTTCTTTTATGTATGCTGTGATTGTATCCACTACGAGCGAGACAACGGCGTAATGTTCAATATCATCGAGCAATGTAACATTGTTTCATATATAAAGGGAGAACGAAACGTCCCTCTATTTCGTTCCTTTCATTTATGTGTGAATATGTATATATAGAATGGACCTACAACGTTACTCTTATAATATGTAACCGTACACACAGCCAGTCGTTTTCAGTGAAGGTGATGGTTGCTTCGTTTGTACATGATTTGCCCTTATCATAATCAGACTAATGATAAAAATAAGAACAATATAAGCAAAAAGTAACGAAGTCAGCCTCACGAATGGTGCCCAATTTACTATTTAGAATCACATAATTATCCTGCTGCATTACATATATATATATATGTATAAGAAGAGAAAGGGGCGATGTCTGTTTGTTAGTCGCTACGAAGGCTTGTTGTTTTCGTTTCCGCGACGTCTTCGGCGGACCAAGCTATATACATAAGGGGACGGGACGCTAGAAGACACTCTATTTATAATAAAATTAATAATAATTTAGCTAGTTTTAGAAACACATGCAGGACCGATAACCTCTACAGTGTGTTGATCTTCGGCTCAGTGAGCTCGGACAACCGTTTCTATTATATCAATATGTGTATAAGTCGCCACCTCTGGCTTCCAGTCTCGACAATGGATTCAGGCGCTGTTCCGGGAGGCATTTCTCCTACTTCTATCTGTTCATATATGCTATTACTTCTTTACGTACTAGACAAAAACCTACCAATGTCTAGCGATTAACTAAAAAGTACTGTCTGAAATTGTCATGTATGTGTATATTAGGACGTCATATTAGTTAATTCCCAACGATGAGGTCAAGGAGTCACTAACTGATAGGCTTGTTATACGTAGTTAGCAGGGTAAGTAAGTTGTCTCGACGTCACATTTTCTACCGCGATCTTCAACTGTACAGACGGAGATCGAGACTCGCTTTCCTGTAGCAGCAGCAGCATTGATTAAAAGCCGTTCAAAATGGATGAAACTAATGCAGTTTGTTTTTAACGGGATCTAAAACATGGGGAACACGGTCGATTCTGGGATGAAGATTTGTAGCGAAATCCGCGATGCGTATCGTATTTACATTGTCGAGGAGTACTTACTATACGGTTACGTGTAATAACTTTTTTCCGGGCGCGAATTTGCTTTAATCGTTATCGTCTTTTCCTCTGCCGCTCCATTCCCGTTCCTGTACCCTCACCCGACAGCCTAAGTACAAATCGTAACTTGTGTCGATGGATGAAATTACTTTTTAGAGTTGTACGTTATTGCGACAAACTACTTTTAGCAACCTATGGAACGGTTTATATATATATATATATATATATAATCGGAATACTCGAATCATCGTCAGCTAGCTTAGGGGGTCGTTGCGAATGTGCTACAGGAACTATAGCGTCTTAATTACTAACAATCATGGTTCGTTTCTCTATTCTGTTACGATTCGAACAAGTTACGAAGCCCAGTGAAGACCTTCTTCACTATTCATAGAGTTGAAACTTAAAGTTTGTCAAATTGGCAGGTTTGTGTTGTAACTCGTTCGCCAGTTACACTTACTATTATACGCCACAAAATCCACTGCAGGCCACTTCTCCACCGACGGTAAAAACGTTCTGTGCAGATAGTTTTTTTTACTGCTCACTTGCGTCGTCTACGCACTTCTTGACTGCGTTGCCTTGTGACCTTAATCACCTTGCAGGCGCAGCCAGAACGAACTCGGATATGATCCATACGCCACTGACCGTTCGAATTTAAGTTGCGGACTATTGCATATGTATAACTGTATTCTTGTGTGCAGCGCGACGATAGCTCGTATTTGGAGCGCACGAATCTGTAAATATATAGAGTGAAAAAAGTTATTATAAACTATTTCATTAATTTTCTACTTGTTCGTGGTGCGTCAGATTTTACAGGCGGATTTTTTCTTCTGCGCGAGTTTTTAGACAATTGTTATTTACGCATAGCCCGAGATGTATGATAGTTTGAATTGAGAAACGTTTTACGGCATTGTAGTTTGACGGAAACTACCGAAGCAGAAGAACTTCTGTTCGAACATACAAAACGTGTATTGTTCTAGCCATTGTGGCGCATATTGTCATTTCCAATTCGCGTAAGCAATGTTAGAGATACGGCAAGCTTTAGTCAAAGAAAAAAATGGTAATATTCTTATTCGTTTATTTGAAGGAATCCCTAAATACTAATGTACTTAGTGGATAAAAGTTCGTTTTACACCTCTAATATAATAATACTAAACGTCATTATGATGTTGTAGAAGAGTGTGTGCTATAGTAGAATATGGTCGAACTACTGCGAGCAGACTGTCGACACATCTTTTAACTTTCAACTTTATCGTGCACGATTCTACTTATATAAGACAACAGCCTGTCTAGCAGCATAATGATTGCAGCTATATAAGAACATAACTTCCATTGAATGCCAAATCAACCTCATAATGAAGTTGTCAAGAACTTAAGCTGAAACAGTCGCTCAAAGTGAGGTGAACAGTTGAAGTCCTACCGAGATTCATGTATATTATTAAACTTTAGAAACAATCATGCTAAGAACACGCGTGCTCCGCTGCGTCGTAACGCTCATTACATTGAATTTGGAGAGGTATACTATCCGATATATCATTCGATCCTACAAAGCGTTACACGTTTCGCTCTGAAACAATTCTGGATCAGATCCGTAGGCGCACATTATCTATGCGGGGCAGCGCGACCAGACAGGCGTGCCAACAGAGCTGATTGCCAATAATTCTGCTCTGTCTGTCACGGAATAAATGGGTAGTACTCTATGAAGTTTAATATCGTATTTTATAACGATCTGTTCTATAGCTTGAAAATTTGTTACGTGTACACGACCGCCATGCAAAATGCAAGCCAAAAATAAGAACTTCCTTCTAAACATGTCACAATGCTTGGTCAATAATAAGGTCACAAGAAGCTGATACTTATTGAGAAATAAATTAAAATTGGCTATCCCTAATTTGTGCTATTTTTAGGGAAAAGTAGTGATTTTTTTCAGTGTTTTTTTTTCTGTTTTTAGTTAGAATGTTATTCTTAATTAGTAACTATTGACCGAAAAATTTAACACGCTGTACTATGAAGGTCGACAGTATTTAATTTTGATTTTTAATACAAGACCACTATGGAAAAGACGTTGCATTGCTTTCTTACTCAAATAGTCATTTTCGCCTACACAGTTCGAGTGTAATTAATGTGATTGTATGCCTTAGATAGCCCACGATGGCCCTTAACGGTGTATCAGGCTGAGCGCCACGTACCTGCACGGCCTATTTTTGACATCTCGACGGCAGGAGGTTTGATAAAACTTCTGTGTTTTGTTCTCGCCTCTATAGATCTCAAGTATGAGGCCAGAACGAGAAACGCCTGCCAACGGATGGATGAGTTCGGTGACTGATGGACAGCAATCACGATTCTCAAGAACCTCAACTTCATCCTGCACCGCATCCGGTAAGGCTCCTAACAGCTCCAACGAAGAGCCACCGTCTGCTGCTACAGTCGTATCCTCATAGGAGCTTCCCCATATTGCATTTCTATTATACCTGTAACAGAATTGAATAAGGTCACCCTGTCAAACCAACCCAAAATGATAATCATGATACTTATGCATTGCTCAAAGATCGTGACGATATGACAATACATTTAGGTTCGACACAAACACTGATTCTTTCAATGCTTCAAATACGTTCTCTACGCATCACTAGTGTGTGATAGATACGCCTCTTCCCTTCATCGTCGATACCACTAAATCATTAGCTGGCGGCTAGACAAGGCAAGAAACAAAAAGTGAATGGATGTATATTCATTAATTCTCATAGATGGTGCCCCTACCGCTACGGTCGAGACATGTCAGACTTCTCATCCTGTCAAAGCCCCACGACACAGTACCCTAACTCAACGTAACATTGGTCCACATGTACGTGCATGGCACTTCCGCGCATAGGTCGACTCGAGCGACGGGTCACAGCTTTCGATTTTGGGCCGAATGTGCCCGTGAGATATTTCTATGATTCGAATATCTATCTCTTCATAACCCTAACAGAGCCGCTAAAGAATAAGCAAACAAAGAGCATAGCCGTTCTTTTGAGAGTCTCCTGCATATACCACTCACATGATTGGTAAGGAATATGTATAATCTTGTGTAAGTTAATGTGTTATGCAGACGCATACTAATCGATATGGACTCATTCGTGAAGCCTGTAAATCTCACCTATTATAGAAAGGAACATTTTTCGCCATTTGTGTTTCACTAAAATCGTGTAATGTTTAGTATAGGCTCCCGCAAATCAAGGATACTTCAGGTTCTATTTTCAGTGCAGCCTTTGAATACTGTCTTAGGCCATTGGCTTTTGGCAAAAAGCAAAGCGTCTTTTCACTCGTTTTTGAACCTGGACCATTTCGTTGTCTTTTAATTTGGTAGACAAGGATGGCTTCACTGCACCATGAGGAAAACGATATCGCTAATTATATCAATGTCCTTACACCTGTTATTGTTGCAAAGAAAAGTTGAATAATACCTTCTCCATTTAAATTCGATTCCTCGTTACCGTCTCGTTAACTTTCCCTGTACCTTTCCCACACCCTTGCTCCTACACTGTCTTATCCAGTCTACGACATTTGTATCACGCTTTCGCCAATATGTTCCTGTTTTTTTCGGCCAACGCCTCTCGTGGGAACGCAACGACGCCATCGATGTGTTAGGGCATGTCACCAATCTTGCATTAGGGCATGTCTGTGTCGTTCAGTCTCCTGACTCTTTACCGCACAGTTCCTGAGGGATGCGGTGACATTTCCCATTGCCCACTATAACTGCTTTTTACGCCTGTGGATTCTAACTGTGCCAGTGGGACCGATGCCCCGTTGACCGTAAAAGCAAAGGTGTCTTTGTTTATCGAGGCATGTTGTAAAGTGTAATGATTTGATAGAACGGTAGATGCATAGATTGACAGGGCATGGCCTGACCCGTAATATTGCCATGAGATAGAAGAGAAGCGTGTGCTAGTTATTTAATCTGTTTAGCGTTATGCCTGATCGCGAGCGTAGTACCGTGATTGATACTGAACAAAATACGTATCATAACTCGCGCTATGTACTCGTACCTACCTCGAAAAGGTCTTACAAGTTCCGGCAGCAATGATAAATGTTGTTAGGAAACTGATGTAGGCTTTGTCCTGCATTTGAAACACGTTTTCTTTTTTCACAGAGTAAACGCATTACGTAGAAAACGGACATGTTTGCGCAACGTTTTCAGGAAGGCAGTCCTCGGGCGATACACCAACCGCTTCGTAGTTATCAAGCGGACGTGTATGTATGTACAGACTAAAACCGCATGAGCAGTACTGCATTATATGGAAAAACACAAGAAATCATTTGGTACATACCAAACGCTATTGAGCATCGCCATGTGTTGAGCCTAGTTCTGGCGAGACGGCCTAGTGTATTGATAAGGTAACGATAAATAACAAGCAATGTATGACGGGCCCTATTGCACACTTTTAGCTACTATCATTCATACGGTACGGTTATGCTGGTTAGCACTTCTTAACTAAGGATAACGTAAAAACGAATTATGACCTATTAGGCCATTTATGTTTAATGTTATATTAGTACTTCATTTGGCTGATAGTTACTATACGATCATTGTATGTTATCGTAGATAGACATTATAAACCAATACACTGAAGCACAGCTTGAAAGACTACGAATTAAATTTTCAAGAGTTCGTTAAATTTTATTGTTAATAGGTGTTTCGAATTTCTGATAGATATTATGCTTGAATACTCGTTTACAGTAGGACAAGCAGAAGTGGCCTGGAGCGACCAGCAGTCCAATGCAAAATACACAGTTTGGCTGTATTAGTTAGGTTACGTAACAACCTATCGCGGGCAGACCGCAGAGCTGAAACTGAAATATACAATGCAATATACATCATTGATATCCACCACAATAGCGAACGTAATTACCAGGTCAAGGGGGGATCTATCGGAATACAAAGTACGGATTGGGGGCAGACCTCTAGTCGTAAAGTTAGCACAGCTGTTCGGGGCATCATTTAAGAAAATGGCCAGCCTATTCGAATCCTAAGCTAAATATCAAGCCAAAACGCCTTTCCAATGAACTTTACTGAACAGCCGTCTGGGTAAGGTTAGTGACTGAATTACTCCGTAAGTTTTAAAGTTTCAAAAACGAATCATTTTTTAAGAAAGAAACGTTTACAAAGAGGCCAAGCATAACACAATAAGGTTTAGTGTTAATCAATTTATTTTTGAAGCTACAGATGTCGATATAAGGAAACGATTTATAACTAATATTTGAGATAGGTTTTCTACGGAAGATTGGAATCAACGCATTATTGCCTCAATACCTCTTCCTTTTTTTCACCTGAAGTTGAAACAAGGATTTGTAGACTTAGTGCAAGTTATAGTTACGCAAACGTAACTACTCAACAGCCGTCACAGCGTTCTTCATAGCAAAGTTTTTTTCTGTACTCATACCTGTCCAATACTAGCGCTTTCACTGCGTCTCTATGAACATTGTCAGAATAAAAAGTAGCGATGCTATTAAAAACGTTGATGTCTGCCCCTATATGTTAGTGAAAAACGTTAGACAGAACATTGCTACGCGAAGTATAATCGTCTCTTGGCAAAATTTTGGCCGTGAATAGATTTGTAGGGAGCTTGAATTGGTTGTACCCTTAGAATAATTACCCAAAGTTAGTACTGCAGATCGGTTTTAAAATGGTATTATCTCGGATTTTTGCCATTACACGGACACAAACCAAGTAAAGTATTGCTGGCTTCGTTGGACAATGATAGCGTCCTTGTCCCTATGTGGTGATGTAGTGATGTTTTTTTCTGTCTCAACCATTCGGTTACCGGAATACGTTCCCAAAGGGCGATGTTGCCTCCATGATCCAATGAAAGCCGATAGACTGTTGTGCATAACTGCATTACGTACGTATGAAGGACATAGTGTATGCGGCGACCATACAGTATGCGATTTGTCAAGGTATTGGCTTCGAAGAAATACAGGACTGAACAAGTCCTAATATTTATGAGCACGTCGAAAAAACGTCCGGTTACACAGAGGTTCGTTTTTTATTGTGATCATATATAATAATAACAACATCACTTACTTAGGTCAAAGTTAGATCGCTTCAGTACCAAGACAACTTGACCCGTGATATTCATTCATCCGTAAACATCCAAGTATAATCTGTCGTTGTATAATTAGTTTCCTGGAAATTACAAGTTTACTGCATAGCCAGACTTGAACAGAAAAAAATACTAGACAATAGAACTTGATCCACGTTTGGGTCGTGCATAAGTTCGCTTACCTAGAACTTACCTACCCCATCTAAGCATCACATATTGACATATAAATAACGAAATCAACGGTGTGTACGTATCCTATTTTCATTTAAAGTGTTCATTTGTTGTCTCAGTAAACACCTTCTCTGAATAGATATCAATATTTCCCTAAGAGCTTGACTATTTTTCTTGCAAAAGTGATGAACTGGCCCTCTTTGTTAACAAGTTATAAGTAGAAAATGTATATCATTTTAAAGTACAAACTAAGTTGGTCGTACTTTCAAGCAGAAATGTGTTATATATCGTTAATGGACTAACTAGAATAAAGATCCTAATAATAATAATCAACTAAATGAGTAGCGGTTGTGCGATATTTTCCTTTATATCGACACCAGCCCAGCTGACAGGCGCAGTTTTTCAATCGCCTAATTCAGATTCTATAATGGAAGCTGCTAAGGTGGATACTTCAGCGTACCGGCATAACCAATATATAATAATGGTTCCGATGGCTTGGGTAGTTTTAGGTGCTATACTTAGCGCAGAGGTTATCATCGCAGAAACCAACTGTGTGCAAGTTGTCATTCTATATTTACCTATATATATAGAGACATTCTATATATATATATGTATATATATACATATATATATATATATATATATATATGCAGATTTGACTGTTCCATGAAGCATGAGTTCCAGAGAATGACGCAAAAATACGCTACATGATTACTTGAGACGTGCACTGCAGTTTAAAAATAAAGTACTCTAGCTCTGATTTGATTTTATCAGGTGTGGCTAAAGCAGTTATTTACGTAAACGGTAGGAAGCGTGAATAGGGTACTCAAAGTCGCTTTGAAATTTCGCGCCTTGGTACTTTTGTTGTGAGCGATTCATTAACCGTTTTTCTTTTCTGAAGCTCTGTAATATAATTCAGGTGGACAGTGAGCAGCAGCTATAGGTTATCTCCAGTTAGTGTGCATGTAAGCTTAAACAGAAGCTACACACGTATACTATGTCAAACCCTACTTAATATTAATACTAGTGCGACGGTTTCCTTTTACCTCATATGATAAAGAAATCATTTTTAAACGGTTTTTTTGATGCAAGTCTATGAGACTGGATGACCTATCATACCTTTGCGGTATTCTACTTCCTTCCTCTACGAGGATTTACCATAAGGGCAGGGCTTCCAGTTCTCTAACGGGACAGCTTACACTCAAGGACAGGCGCGT